AGGGTGACTCCGCTATACACTCAGCTAGGACTGGCAAGCCTTGAAGTTTGCATCGCTGCGTCTCAGGGGAGATCCAGGTGTTGTTATGGAAGCTGTGAGGCAAAGCATCGGAGCATTGGAGTTTGCGTCTCAAAAGCTTCGGGGTGATCGCTCTCTCATGCTTTTGGCAGTCAAGAGAGACGGTGGCGCGCTGCGTTTTGCGTCCTCGAAGTTGCAGGCTGATGTGGATTTGGTCATCGAGGCTTTGCGGCAAGACGGCAAAGCCATCGTGCACGCAGCACCAGAGGTGCGGGCAGATCCTAAACTTCACGCTGCGATGAAAGGAAACTCTGAGGTCTTGCGCTTCTTGGGCTTCGACAGCAGAGACCGCCTCAGCACTGAACAGGAACTCTTTGACGCGTACATGGGAAGTTGGACTTCGCCATACGACGATGCTACGATCGCCGCGGTCTTGCGGCGCCATCGATAGCTCACGGGGACCTACTGGCGCTCACATGTGCACCAAAGTGTGCTGACGGAGCGCTGTGCTCGAGCCAAAAGGGTGTTAATCAGATTGAAGCAGTGCGTTTCAGGGGGTGTCTATTCTTTTCCGTTCCCTCGGTTGGCCTGTTATGGCCTGTTGGCCATGCCACCTCCAGAAGTGATCCATTTGGGGCCATTCTTAAGCCACGCCAGTGCCGACCAAGGTGTGGTGATGCGTGGTGTCTACATGGTCGGCCTGAGCGGACTGTGATATTGAATTCATTGCTGCAGGCTCTGCAGGCCCCTGCGACATGCCATTTCTCTATTTGTGTATAATTGCCTGCAGGATGGTGCCACCCAGTTATAAGTTGGTTTATAAACCCCATTAACTATAGTTATATCTACCATAAACCATAGTTATGGGAGTTATAAACCAACTTAGTTAACTATGGGGCACCACCTTGTGGTCAAATGCACCGATGGTCATGCCGAGCTGCATTCCACCGGACTTCCCAACTGGGCAGCACAAAAAGATGGGGTGGCTCCTTGAGGCCATTCAGAAGCTCCAGAGTTTGGTTGGAGCCAGCTTTGAGCATTCACGATGTGCAGCCGCCCTTTCTGTTATTAGAACTTGTAAGCAGCAACCCACCCTCTTTGCTGAAATTTGAGATGTTCCCACCAAGGACTCGTACGAGGAAGGAAGAGGTGGGGAGTTGACCACTGATATGCAGAAGCGGGACATACCCTGAAGCATTGATGTTTGAAAAACATACCCCCCGTTGATGCCGCCGATCACTAGGCCGAGATGCATTAGTTGGACAAAGGTCACCGAATTCTGCAGGTACTCAGTCAGACTTTTTTGAACTTTGTCGAATCCTCTTGCCGTCCTTCCGTCTCTGCTTTGCTGCCTGGGTCTTGGCACGCCATGGTCTTTTGGCCTGCAGTCACTTATAACTTATATATGATAGATGCGATCCTTTTTCGCGATGTATGTGAGGTCAACCAACACAAAAGCAATGGACATCTTTGGGGTGATTCCTAGTTATGCAGGATTCGGGTGACTCTACAGTCTCTACAGTTTGGCACGTGTTGCGCCACAAGACAGTTGCTCAACCAGAGGCTGTGTTGCCACCTGCTTCTGGTACTTCTTGATCTCCACGATGAGTGTACACATATATATATATATGCATATAATGTAAACAATATATATATATATACATGTGTGTGTGCGTCCAGTGCGCAAATGACTTTTCTTGCAAGCTTGAGTGCGTACTGCTTCACCAGTTCTGTAGCCTTTAGCTTTGACCTGATTTTTTCAATGATAGAATCTGCCCAGCATGTACCATCAGGATGTATCATCATGCGTGATGATAGGCATGCCCTTCGACTTGCGTTCCCGCCTGCGCACGCTCGTCTTTATAAAATCTTATTTCCATTGTATGCGTATGCACATGTGTAAATAGGAGCACCCCTACATCCACATTGTATTATATAGTAGGTATATGTACCAGTAGTACCGCACAAGGCGGTGGCGGAAGTTTCAAAGCCACCCAGAACTTCCACTCCTCCTTATTTAAGGAATTCCTCCTTATTTAAGGAATTCCTCCTTAAACTTCCTCCTTAAAATTTCAATTGCAAGGAGATCTTGCACCTCCTTCAGCAGGAGACTTGAAACCTCCTTATCCCAGATCCTGGCAGCAAAACTTTTCACTTCAGCTCTGGAATCACTTGTGCTCGAAAACTTTGCAGAACACTCATGCCTATGGAATAAGGGTTGTGGCTTCCACCTTTCACAGCTCCTAAGTGAGCTAGGAAGCCACCAAAGTCTTCGTCTCGATATGTCCAACTGTCTGATGGACAAGGGTTCTGGAGCAATAAATCCAAGAAGCTGTGGTGCTTTGGTTTGATCTTCCAAGTATGGTCAGTCTCGTTTTCCAAGCTCTTGCACAACAGCAAAAACTTTCTGCCATGCAGCAGCATTGACTGGTGATTCCATAGATTCTTGGACAAGAAAGAATAACATTGCCACAGTTCTGTGGCAGCCATCTTGATTGTATGTTCAAGCACATTGTCATCAGCCAAAAATTCATTGCAGATTTGTTTTGCAAAAGTAATCAACCCTCGAGCTTCTGCAGCTTTGGCCCGAAGTTTTGGACTTGAACTGGCTTTCTTTCTGATCATGAGGACTGTCAAAGTAGGAAGCTTGTTTTCCACACCTTCAGTCTTGTAGTCGCTTTGAATTCTGTGGAACAAGCTTTTCACCCTTTCTTTGACATTGTTGCCAGGCAAGTGATTTCCAGCAGCAATTAAATGGTGAAAAGCATTGCCCAAAAAATCTGCTGCCACGCCCAAGTCCACAATGTGAAGCCAGTCCAAAAGAAATTGTTTGCTTGTCAGTCCTGGTGTTTGAAACAATTCATTGATGTCAATGCCAGACTTGGAAATGGATTGCAACAAAGTGAAATGGTCCAAAGGATCAAATGCCTTGCAGCTTTCAAAGTTTCGAATTTCAATTGGTTTGCGCAAGCACAAATGGCAGCATCCTTGTTTGTCTCGCCATCCAGGAAATTGGAAAACTTCTTTTCTCATAGCCCAATCACCTCTCACTTCAAGTAAAAAAGCAGTGAAAGGCAATGCCTCGCCATTGAATGTGCTTCGTTTTTTGTCGCCTGGGTGCCAAAAGCTGCCATCATGCCTTGCTGAAGGCCAAGTGCAATTGGCTAAGTGAATAAAAGACCAAGACAAAATTCCTAACATCTTCGACAAAGTTACTCCCTTGATGCACCAGTGCTTTGGAATACAGCACAAAGGGATTCGCGAAGTACCATTAGGTGGAAGTAAGCCAAGAAAATTCAATGAGATGCATTCCAAAGTTTGACTTCCGTCATAATTGTAAGGTGTGCCGTCGATCCAAAGGCCAAGTCCCATGGCTTCTCGAACTTGGAACTGCATTTGCATGTTCGCCAAATGTTTCTTGCTGAGTTCACACATGCCACCAGTCTGCAGCAAGTCTTTCTTCTCAGATCGCTTCGAGAAGACAAGAATTTCATGTGGCAAAAAAAAGGTATTTTCTTCATCTCTTCTGCTTGTGTTCCAGGATTGTAGCAAGGGATCAATGCAATGTATTCATTGAACCACAGGCAATTCTTCAACATTTTTCTTTTCATATCCCGTGCCAAATTCTTTTCCCAATTGGCTTGCTTCTTACCACTGCCAGATTTCTCTGCACCTTTGACCAAATCTTTCACACCAGTGGCTCCAGCTATTTGTGCATCTGTCATGAGCTCATTGGCTCTTCTAGCACAGACAGTCTTGGTCAAAATTAAATTGGAAACATTGTGTCGAAACCTCTTCTGGCCAGGTTCCCTAAGGTTAGACAAATCTACCTTTCTCTTGTGAAACATGGCTTGAGCTGGAAAAACATGTCAGCATAAAAGTTCATAAGATCTCAGAAGACAAGAAGTTACACATTGTATTTAGTTAATGCTAAATTTGGCCAATGCTTTGAAACAGGGAAACAGTAAAGGAGATCTTACACCTCCTTGAGTCTTCTACACCTCCTTTCAGCAGCTTAGAAGCAGGCTCTTTTTCCAGCGACAATTACCAGCTGCGCATCTTCCAAGCAGATCCCTGAGATATTTTAATCTTCATTTCCACATTCCAGTCCAAAACTGACAACTGCACCAAATGCGCTTTCCAAAATCTAAGGGCCAAACAGCTCCTACAGCAATGCCTGTTGAGTTTTCACATTGGCTTTTGCTTCTTGCAGCTTCTCTTGGCTGGAAGCAAGCCAGGCTTTGGCAGCAGGCAATGATTTCCAAAGGCTTTCAGGAGAAGTGTCCTCAGGAGCAAGATCTTCACTGGCTGCGACATAGGATCGAAGGTTGGCAAAGGCTTTCAACTGCTCTTGACACCAAGTCTGAAGACCTTTGCCTTTGGCATGGAAGCTTGGGTCACCTTTGATTTCCAAACGACAGGCCAGGTCCTGGGCCTTGGCAAGCTCCTTCTCCCAGGCATTCTTGCAGAAATTCAGACTGCTGCACACATTCTGAAACTCCTTCAAGGGCTTACTAACCCCCTTGTCATCCAAAGCCTGGCCTGAGATCTGCAGCACTTCAGAGCCACTGGAAGACATTGTCAAGTTATCCTTGGCTGCTTGGCTTTGGCTCACAGCAGACCAGGTGCTCTTCAGCAAGCCGAAGCCTCGTAGCTCGCTTCCAAAGGGTTTGTCTCATCCCAATTGAAGTCTACCATGCTTTTTAGCTTGGCCAAGTGCTTTTCAACAGCAAGAAAGCAAGAAACTCTTCAGAATCAGCTGTCATTTCGAGCATGGCGGCCACTTGGAATCTGGTTCCAAAACCAGCTCTTTCATTGACAGTTTCTTTCTTTTCAGTTTCCAAAGACTTGTTCCAAGTGCTGATCCACTTGCAAGTCTTGTCAGCCTTCCAAGCTTGGATCAAATCCTTCTTCTGCTGTGAGAAACGAGGCAAGGACTGGTAGAGCTGCAAGACTTGTTGGGCTTCCTCTGAGTTCGACTCCTTCAAGGAATTCCAAAGTTGGCTTGGTCTTTCTGATCCACATTGGCCTTCTCCTTCTTGACTGTGGCCTTGGGAGCAGGCTTAGGCTCAGCATTCTTGCCCATGTTTGCAGAAGCTGGAGTTTGGGAGCTGTCTACTGTGATCCTTGTAGTGGCTGCAATCAAGAAATGTCTCAGCTGATCAGTTCCTGCAAGCCTTTAGCTTCTGAAAACAAATCAGCCAAGACAGTAGCATGCCCAGGACCAAGGAAGAAAGAAAAAGCAAGAGAGAAGGGAAGATGATGATATTGAAAATATATATATATATATACACATGTGTGTATATACATATATGTGTATGTATGTATGTGTGTGAATATATATATATATTTTTTCAAGTACTTGGCTCAAAAAGACAAGCTACAAAATTGAGAATGCACCAAGCAGCACAAGCTTGCAATTGATTGCCACACCATAGGATCTCATCTATAAGGAGGTTGAAATACCTCCTTGGAAATAAAGGAGGACTCTGTTCTCCTTAAATATCATATGTCTTCACAACCCCCCCTGCCCAGCCACAAGTCCACAGGCATTTTCCTCCACTAATTATCTTGCAGTAATTAATTGGCTTCTATTTACTTTGGCTCTGGTCTTTGCCACTTGTTTCTTTTCTAGGTACCAGAGGCTCAGTCTTCACACCTCTCTTGAACAAGCACTGCCTGAGGTAAAGTGCCAAATGCTTTGTAGTTGCGCATTCCTGGGTTGGGCCACAGGTTCAGGGATCTATGTAATTCTTTTCTCATCAAGCCAGCTTTATCAACTGAATATATGAATTTCATCCATGAATAATGTGCTTACAAGTCTCAGATGTTCTCAGGCACTTATACACCCATGAAATCTAACAAAGCATAAATCAGCTCTGGCACCGACTCATTAACATAGCATCCGGTACCGTTGTGCGGCCTGGGGAAAAGGAATTAGGTAGATTTTGGGCCCGTTGGGCACCAACTCATTAACATAGCATCCGGCGCCGTTGAGCGAATAATTTGTGCATTCCCCAGGACATGGAGATCCAAAAACTGCGATGGGTGCTAACCTGGCACCTGAAAGAGACTGACCTAGCTAGAATCTTGGAAGGCAGAAATGCTATGTTAGCATCGATTTTGCTCAGAAAAAAATCAGAAAACATGTCCATACCCCTCACAGCACTATGAAAACTTGTTCTTGGACATGTTGTACAGCTGCTATGTTCAAAGGAAGTTTAGGGGGAGAAACTTCCGTGTTACGGACTTTTGGAATGTCAGGGAAAGAGTTAGTCAAAGAAAGAGTTAGTGAGGGAAAGAGTTAGTTAGGGAAAGAGTTAATTGTAACTTTTAGACTGTCAGGGAAAGAGCTAGTCAAAGGAAGAGTTAGTGAGGGAAAGAGTTAGTTAGGGACAGAGTTAATTGTAACTTTTAGAATGTCATGGGAAAGAGTTAGTCAAAGAAAGAGTTAGAATGGCATTGCAAGTGGTGCTGGTGGAGGAGTTGCCGATGGAGTTTTGAAGGAAGTCTCGCACGAAATGCGTTTTTGAGAGATAGCAGATGCACGAAACCCGATGTTTTTCCATACAAAGTCCGTCCCCGAACCTCGATGATCTACCTCTGCGGTGCGACGGGTGCGAGACGGTCTCGTGTGTGGTCGGATCATGCTCGGATCATGGGCGGATCATGCTCGGATCGGTTCCGCATTGTAAATGGGGTTTCACCTGTTTTTCGTGCATGTGCGGTCGACACCCAAAAGCTCTGGTTAGGCTAATTCCTGCCTATTAGGTTATTTTAGTTTTTAAGGTTAAATTCTATCTATTAGGTTATTTCATGTTCTGTCTTTTAGGTTGTTTGCCTGTTTGCCTAAATAGTTTATTTAGCCGAATAACCTAAAAACTGTCTTGTTTGAGACTTTGGTTTTCTTTCACCAAACTATATTTTCAACAGTTTAAACTAAAGACAGTCTTTTTCCATATGTGTTTCCTTTGGAATTTTTGAATTACATGTTTTTTTGGCAAATAGTTTTTCAAATGTTTCTTCATTGTTTTGTGAGTGATGTATGTCGCTTTCTTTTGATTTATGCGGGTCTGAAGTGATTTTTTGTGCTAAAGTGAAGCCTTTTGTGCTAAAGTGAATCTGTAAATTTCAGTCGGATATGTTTTAGATGGGGCAAGCCAACACAGCATGGAAGCAACAAAAACACATGTCCAAAACAATATGAGCAAATGGGTATGTCTCAACATGAAGTATCCTTTTTTGACCCCAAAATGGTTACGTTGAAGGGAAAAAAGGTCACCTCATTTTCAGACATACCCAAACAAGAAAAAAAACATGTTTTGCAACAATGGCAATGGATAGTTTTTGGGAGCGCCAAGCCAGCACAGGATGAAAAACCAAAAACAAGAAGAAACATGAAACCAACAAATGCAAAAACAACAACACACAGTAATAAATAAAAAAATGTGAAAACTGTCCAAAACCTAACTTGTCAGCTGCATCGTTTATGAAACTCAGAGGAGTTCATGTGAATTCGCGGGTGCTCATTGCTCATGGGTGTTCATGTGTGTTTTTCTTTTTTTCGGCTGCCACCCATTTAGCTTACTCAGTGGGTTTCCATGCCCAAAAAGAAAAATCAAAGTATTTTTTCGTGAGGTTCGCGCGCGATTTTTGGGTATAAAATGGCTGCCCCCCGGCGCGCGAACCCAACCAAAAAAACAAGTGAAGACACTTGCTGATTTGGTTGGTGGTTTTGTCTCATGCGCTGCTATTTGGCTGCAAAACCTGTGCCTTGGTGACCAGATGGAAATCCCTGAGTTCTTGGTCAGCTTGGACTCGATGGTTATTTGTTTTTTAAAGATAAATTTGGGGCTAGAGAACCCCAAATCATTGGCAAACCCTGGTTTTCCTGGCTTTGAAGGGCATCTTTTGAAATCAACTTGAACGTTGGCCAGTAACAGATTCATAAACAAAAACTGTCAAGACTGGAAGGTTTTCACTTGTAAGAAAGTAGTGGCAAGCACAAAATTTTTGAAGACTTGCTAGGTGAGGATTGGTTGTATTCAAGTTGTTTTTGCAAAAACTAAACGGAACAATCCAGCCAAGACTTGATCAATCACTAAGGGGGTCTCCATCCCTCAAACCTTTTTACATCAAAACACCTGCCCAAAGATTTGCAATCACCTGGGGCTCTCCATCCTTGGCCTTTCTCCCCATTGAAAAAACCAACGAAACCACCGAACAATGCAAGTGACTTGAGGTGATCAGCATTCATGTCTTTGAGGCAAGTAAACCCAGAATTTACCCAAAATAAAGAGAAGGGGTGTCAATCCCAGAGCCCATCCATTACTACGTTTTTTTCCTCAAACCTATTTGCAAGAAAATGCAATCCAATCCAGAGTTAATCGATCACTTGGGCCTTCCCATGCCAATCCATTTCCTAAAAATTAATCCAAATGTTTTGCAATGACTTGGGGCCCTCCAGTCATCAAATTCATTCACATTTGCATGGGAAAATCTCTCCCAGAAAGTGTATGGCGGAAGATTTGTTGATGGAAAAAAGTGATTGACCAAACATTTTTTTGACAAAAATCATTAAAAAACAAGTTTTTTTTGAATAAAATCAATATTTTTGCTGAATAAACATCATTTGTTTGACTAAAAACCAAGATTTTTTTGAATAAATCCTAGAATTTTTGAAGATTTTCAAGGAAATGAGGTGTAAGTTTGATGTAAGTTTGCATCAAACTTACACTTTTGAGGTGTAAGTTTACATCAAACTTACACTAAACTTACACATCAAGAGTGTAAGTTTACACCAAACTTACATATCAAAAGTGTAAATTTACATCAAACTTACACTGAGAAGTGTAAGTTTGCACTTGTATGTGTAAGTTTGATGTAAACTTACACTTTTGATATGTAAGTTTGGTGTAAACTTACACTTTCGTGTAAGTTTGATGTAAACTTACACCTCAAAAGTGTAAGTTTGATGCAAACTTACATCAAACTTACACCTCATTTCCTTGAAAATCTTCAAAAAATCTTGGATTTATTCCAAAAAACTTGATTTTATTCAAAAAACATGGTTTTTAGTTTTAAAAAAAAACATGTTTATGCAAAAAAACATTGTTTTTTTAAAAAACTTGATTGTTTTTTGAAAAACATGTTTTTTTTTCAAAAAAATGTTTGATCAGTCATTTTTTCCATCAAAAAAAATTCAACCAAACACTTTCTCGGAGAGATTTTCCCATGCAAATGTGAATGAATTTGATGACTGGAGGGCCCCAAGTCATTGCAAAACATTTGGATTAATTTTTAGGAAATGGATTGGCATGGGAAGGCCCAAGTGATCGATTAACTCTGGGTTGGATTGCATTTTCTTGCAAATAGGTTTGAGGAAAAAAACGGTAGTAATGGATGGGCTCTGGGATTGACAACCTTTTTCCTTCTTTTTGTAAACATGAATCTGAAAACTGCAAAACCCAAAATTTAATGGCAAATTCCGGGTTTAACTGCATAGAAAATGTGAATGCTGAACACCCCAAGTCATTGTTTGTTTTTAGTCGCATTTGTTTGGCATAAATGTCAAGGATGGAGAGCCCCAGGTGATTGTTAATCTTTGTGCTGGTTTTCTGATATCGAGGGCTGGAGGCCCTTTAGTGATTGATCAAGTCTGGGCTGGATTGGCCGTTTAGTTTTTGCAAAAAAAATGAATACAACCAATCCTCACCAGGACTTTCTTCTTTTTTTTTGCCGACCACTGCTTTTGACAAATCCAAGGCCATCCAGTCTTGACAGTTTGTCTTTATAAAACTACTGCTGCCCGAACTGATTTCAAAAAAGGCCCCTCCAAAACCCTTGGATTGCCGATAATGATAATTCAAGAAAGAAATCAGCCCAGGGCTGGGACCTCCATCTCAAGTTCATTTTTTTAAGTTCAAAGAAAGTGGATGGCAGCAAAACAAAACGACAAACAAACAAAAACACATGAACACCC